GGGGGGGGGGGGGGGGGGGGGGGGGGGGTGTACGCCGACGAATGACAAAACTCTCCTTCATACACAAAAGCCAGAAAAATAATGTGTTCCAAACAGTTCGGGGGTAGGGGTAACAGGGTCAACATAAGCCTGAAGCGAAAGACATCGGTGTAGTCCTAATCATCAATCCTGTTCAGGAAGGAGGTAGGTAGGTCTACCAAAGCGGCTTCAAGTACATGACCGTGAACGTTTCGTCCGCCAGAACAAGACGAGAAAAACTAGCACCACCACCAGGGCGCCTCTATACGAGCACGTGCAGGCAAAATAAAAGGCACCGCAAGGTTAGGCGCAGATAGATCCGAGAGACGGGCGGGTGCAGGTGCATTCACTCCGCAGCCAGCGACCAATACCACCGTCAACGACAACCACATACCCTTGTTGTGGGCAAGGCACACATCATAGGCCGGTTTAAGGGAGGGTTGCGACAAGCCAACAACACTCCGGAATCCGATTGTTCTTTCGAAACCTGTTCGGAAATGCTGGTACCATGTGGTATTGCGCTTTCATCCAAATGACCCTTGTATTTCCGAGCAGAGTTGCCGTTACTGCTTAGCTGCACCTTGACGATGGCGGTGTCAGCTAGCTCCCCCGCAACGCCCAACGCCTGCTTCGCCTTGGCGGGGAGGTCGTACTCGCTCGAGAGCTTGGTCGCCTGCGACGTGAGGTCCTTGACTGTCTTCTCCACCTTCTCGATCGTGTCCCCCGCATCCCCATTCGACTTGAGCTCGGTCACGGCCTTCTCAAGCTGTGCTCCCGCCTTGCCTGTTGGTTGAACGTTGGCGGCACGTCTCGGCATAAACAAATGCTCCTTGGACTCCAACTCGTTGCACCCCTTTTTGTCTGTCTCTCTCGCTAGAGGCTAAACTAAACCTCTGGTTAGGCAATACACATCAAAGAACATTGAGAGCCGAGAGCCTGGTTGTTGTTGACGGCTCGTCTGGGCATCAGGAAAAACGCACTCCCTCCCTCTCATCACCATTTTCGTGCCCCGTTTTATTGGCTCTCTCGCTATAGTATAACCAGAGAATAAAACAACCTCTACACTGCACAAATGACTTCCAGAGCGGCAGCGCGAACATGGAGACAGGAGCAGCGCGCTGCCCATGCTTACTCCGTTAAAAGCGTGGACATTTATCTCATGTTTTCGGGGGGGGGGGGGG